GCAGCATGAGTATTTATGTGCATTTACACAGAGAGCATAGATGGCATACTTCATGGCACAGAACCCCTGGAACAACACTACGTTCCTCTGCACAACAGGGCTGGGAGTGCCGATGGCCTCCGCGTCCTCTGCAAGAAGAACAAAAGAAGAACAAAAACCACAAGTAGGGTAATATTACTTTGCAACATGAAGTACATTCTAATTTTCACAAGCACTTCAGACTCCATTAGACAGACATGTGGATGATGTAAACCTGTTCCTGGAGAATTTGGTGGCCGCTGCAACAGATCCAGTATCCTGCGCTCCTCAAACTGAGGCAAAGGAGTCAGGGAGTGCAGAATATAAAGGGCAGAGTGATTGTCTAGAGTGTGAAGCTGTGCCAGCAGTGCCTCCATGGAAACACCCCTGCACAGAAGGAAACAAGGTACAAAGTAAATAGTAAAATTAATGATTATTAGGATAGAATTAATTGACAGTCAAATGTTAAATATAAAAACAAAGATAGCTTACGGATTGTTGCTTCTACACCATTCAAGTACTTCAAGCTGAGAGGACAATAGATTGGCATATTCCTGCAGAACAAAGTCATTGGATGGTGCCTGTAAAGATAATAAACAGTGCATCAGCAAAGGACTAAAATACTAAATGTGCTGATCTGTGACCCCTTCAACTAAAGCTACATTCAGGCAGCTGTTGGGGAGGAGGTACAGTACACGTAGATGTCTGCAGAGCAGAATGATTTCAGTTCTGACCTGCTCTCGGTGAAGGAGGCTGAGCAGCGTTTGAGCTGAGCTCAGGCTGCGACACTGAGTCCATCCCAGGAGCAACAGGAGACGAGACAGCGGCTGGAACTCCAGGTGCACCAAGTCTTTTAACTGAGAAAACTCCTCATGTTTAATCAAGTCGAGTGCAGTAACCTACAGGAAGGAACCAATCTTATTACATTATTGAATTTCATCACGTGCAGTCGCTAATCAAATGTACTTGGCCATGAGGATCTTGTACTTTGTAGAATTACAATTAGAGATGCACAGATTGAAATTTTCTGGGCTGATGCAGATTCCCAGTTTGTTTTTCCAAGTCTGACCTGCCAAGTCCCATTTTCTTTCTAAGAACTGTAACTGACAGGATGCACAAACATTTTTGTAACTTTCCTTTAATGAAAAGTTAAACTGTAATGAAAACATTGCATTAAAGTTTGACATTTTCTGTCTCTCTCATAAGTTAGAACTGATATTTTTCAAATGGTCTTGGTTCACTTACCAAGACCTGCTCTAGGAAGTGCTTCCCACTACTAAGGCACTCAAAATAGACAGCTTTCCAAGCTGATGGACGATCTCTGTGGCAACATAAACTGAGGGTCAGCTTCTCGGCTTCAGAGAGGTCAACTAGGAGAAAAGAAATCCATGGTCAAACACGCCAGCAAAACAATCCCTAAAAGATAATACTATAAACTTAAAAACAATGTCAGCATTGCAATGGAGTGTATTAAAAACTGTTGTGTGATCTTAAGTCATTGCAAGGTACTGAAAAACTATTTCAGCAAAAAGAAAATCCCTTTGCTGCCTTGTAGAGATGCCACATAAGAGATTAAAGGGAATATAACCATCTAGATGACAGGTTTCATGGAGATGGTTGTTTGTTTCTTTCATAAATATGAGCTCATACAGGCATTAAGGAGTTTGTAAAAAATGTCATAAATAAGATGTTAAAAAGGGCAACACTGATACAAACTTGCCTAAAAATGTACTACTTTAAAGACTGTGAAATGTGCCTAAAACCTTTGTTTGAATTCTCTTGTAGTTTTCACCGTGTCTGAAGAAAGACAGAGGGAGATAGAAAATAAAGTTTCAGGAGACATCAGTACGATGCGTGGCCATCTTTCGAACTGAACCGGTGTAGCTACAGGGGGCATAAACTATATTGTATGTCACCCTTTTTTTAACCTTTATACCAGATTAGTACAGGAATAAGTCAATATACAGTATACCACAGAAGTGAGTACACCCCCTCACATTTTGTAAATATTTATGTATATCTTTTCATGTGACAACACTGAAGAAATGACACTTGGCTACAATGTAAAGTAGTGAGTCTACAGCTTGTATAACAGTGTAAATGTGCTGTCCCCTCAAAATAACTCAACACACAGCCATTAATGTCTAAACTGCTGGCAACAAAAGTGAGTACACCCCTAAGTGATAATGGCCAAATGGGGCCCAAGTAGCCGTTTTCCCTCCCTGGTGTCATGTGACTCGTTAGTGGTACAAGGTCTCAGGTGTGAAGGAGGAGCAGGTGTGTTAAATTTAGTGTTATCACTCTCACTCTCTCATACTAGTCACTGGAAGTTCAACATGGCACCTCATGGCAATGAACTCTGAGGATCTGAAAAAACAAATTGTTGCTCTACATAAAGATGGCCTAGGCTATAAGAAGATTGCCAAGACCCTGAAACTGAGCTGCAGCACAGTGGCCAAGACCATACAGCGGTTTAACAGGACAGGTTCCACTCAGAACAGGCCTCGCCGTGGTCGACCAAGGAAGTTGTGTGCCCGTGCTCAGCGTCATATCCAGAGGATGGCTTTGGGAAATAGACATATGAGTGCTACCAGCATTGCTGCAGAGGTTGAAGAGGTGGGGGGTCAGCCTGTCAGTGCTCAGACCATACGCCGCACGCTGCATCAAATTGGTCTGCAAGGCTGTCGTCCTAGAAGGAAGCCTCTTCTAAAGATGATGCACAAGAAAGCCCGCAAACGGTTTGCTGCAGACAAGCAGACTAAGGATATGGATTTCTGGAACCATGTCCTGTGGTCCAATGAGACCAAGATAAACTTATTTGGTTCAGATGGTGTCAAGTGTGTGTGGCGGCAACCAGGTGAAGAGTACAAAGACAAGTGTGTCTTGCCTACAGTCAAGTATGGTGGTGGGAATGTCATGGTCTGGGGCTGCATGAGTGCTGCCGGCACTGGGGAGCTACAGTTCATTGAGGGAACCATGAATGCCAACATGTACTGTGACATACTGAAGCAGAGCATGATTCCTTCCCTTTGGAGACTGGGTCGCAGGGCAGTATTCCAACACGATAACGACCCCAAACACACCTCCAAAATGACCACTGCCTTGTTAAAGAAGCTAAGGGTAAAGGTGATGGACTGGCCAAGCATGTCTCCAGACCTAAACCCTATTGAGCATCTGTGGGGCATCCTGAAACGGAAGGTGGAGGTACGCAATGTCTCTAACATCCACCAGCTCCGTGACGTCATCATGGAGGAGTGGAAGAGGATTCCAGTGGCAACCTGTGAAGCTCTGGTGAACTCTATGCCCAAGAGGGTTAAGGCAGTGCTGGAAAATAATGGTGGCCACACAAAATAATGACACTTTGGGCCCCATTTGGCCATTATCACTTAGGGGTGTACTCACTTTTGTTGCCAGCAGTTTAGACATTAATGGCTGTGTGTTGCGTTATTTTGAGGGGACAGCACATTTACACTGTTACACAAGCTGTAGACTCACTACTTTACATTGTAGCCAAGTGTCATTTCTTCAGTGTTGTCACATGAAAAGATGTACGTAAATATTTACAAAATGTGAGGGGGTGTACTCACTTCTGTAATATACTGTATATAGGCTTAACCATAAACCACCACCAACCATCAGTCACCACTTGTATTTGTGCCAAATTATTAGCAAATAGAGTCTAAATGTAAGAAAATGAAAGAAAGTCTGCATAGATGCTAAAAAACAGACAGTTACATGTACGTTTTGGTGACACTCAGCAAAACCTGGCACAGCTTCACAACCACAGAAGCAGAAGTGTGATTAAAAGAGGAAAGAGGTGATGCCAGCACTGTAGGCAAAGAAGGCTCAGACTATAAATATTAGTAACATAAACAAAAAGAAAGCCTGACTACACAAACAGCTCAGAAGAGGAACTGATTTATAGGAACACACAACTTTTACAAAGCAACCCAGTTGCACTAAGTAACATGAGAAAAGATTATCAGACTACCTTGTGTGTTAGGCGAGCTCCTCAGCAGATGATCCCTCTGAAGCCTCAGAGCAGTGGAGCAGTACACAGAAACCAAAGCATGACACCGAGGGCGAAGCAGCGAGTTCAGGATCCTCTCCTCTGTCAGGGGTCCATGCCTGGCTGCCCACAGCACCTCACACAGTGCCTCAAACTGCCCACCACTACTACCAGAGCTCCATGGCATCACAGCCAACACAGCATATATCTCCTCCACCCACTCCTCTACCTTCTCCTGCTTCCTCTCTGGCTTTCTGAGTTTATTCATCAGGTGTTGGACAAACGGCCGCTGCAGAGAATGGCCATCTGTCCATGACTGGTCCTGTAGGAGATGATAAAATAAGAACATGCTTGCAATCTACATTTGCATTTGTGCAGAGTGCTTTTTTTTTTGTTTGTTTAAATAACTCTGAGCTGCTTTATTGCTACAATAAGTTTCACTCTACCTGTAAGAACTGAGCTAAACACTGGGCCAGTCTGGGCTTCTTCTCCAATAAGGTTCTGAGGCATGACTCAACAGCAGCATCTGTTGACCTTGAACCTGCTGCAGGCTTTTGGTTAGACTGCGTATCCAAGAAGGCCTGGTGCAGATCCTGTGGGAAGATCACTGATCTCAGTCCTGTAAATCTGTCTACTAGCAAGTCGGTCACAACATGCAGTATTACAGAACAGATTAAGTTAATCTTAGTACGTTTAACCTGAGTGACACTGTAATCAGGTTAGTGTGTCAGTCTAATTAAAACACATTGTTTTCTAGTTTATATTCCTTTAAACTGTAGGTTTGAGTGCTGACAGGAGTAAAACTAATATTAACCTTGAGAACAGTGTCTGGTATGCTCTCTGAGCCCAGTTCCTCCAGGAGCAACAGGAACTCCAGCTCTCTTCTGACACTGGGAGAAATCTGAAACAAAGTGGGGGGAAAAGACAAGAGCTACAACAACATGCCATGCAGTTGGTGGTGATTGTGGTGCTTCATCACACAACATTTTCTGTTTTGCAAAAGGACACTGACATTTTTGAGACTGTCTTCTGTTTCCAAGAAAGATTTGACCAATTTGTGTTTGTTGCAAATACCAATATCCTGCTTGAGGATGACAAAACTAAACATGTTGTTTCAGAGCAAATCAAGCAGGTACAATAAACAATACTTGAGCAGGTAATACTACGCATCATATTACCTGCTCTTCTGTCCATTTCAACAGAACCTGAAGCCAAAACCATGCCAGCTTGTGTGGACTCCCCACAGACTCCCATCTATAAAATAAACACAGTCATTAAATCAACTGCACAAATAACACACACGTACAGTAAACAGAAGTGTGAGGTTTTGGGATGACAGTTATTAAACCAGATAACACTGCATTACACTTGATTTCTCCAACAATTCATATTCTTACATTGAAAGAAAAACCTCAACTCACTTTAAATTGTAAGGATGGCAGACAATAGCTTTGATTAAGTCTTGCAGGTTTTCTGAAAGCCCTCCTGTTGAAGTGATGAGCTGCGGCACACAGGCACTGGCCAGCTCCCACTCTCCATGCTGCAGGCACCTCTTGAAGTACTCAAACAGGTCCTGAAGTGAGGTCTCTGCCTCACAGCCAAAAGGATGCATGGCCACTTACACTGTGACACTCCTTTGCTAGGTGGTCACAGCTGGCGAGGCACTTTTACTAACATGTAGCCAGACAGCACACTTGAGCTTCCTTCACCTGAAACAAAAAGAAAAAGCTGTCTGAGCTTATATCGTTTAACAAAACTAGGTCATTTTAAACAAACAGGATATAGTGACTCAAATTATTTGAAATGAAATTTTACTTTTAAAATCTAGACACAGCACATGATACTGGTGCAACTTCACCCACTGTCAAGGTACACAAACACATGAAACACAAACTGGAAAGCAGAAAGCCTCTCAACATTTGCAGTGTTCCGAGCAACTTTAATGCAAAGATAAAAGACCTAACGGGTTTTGGCATAAAGACCTTGTCAGGACACTCCTTCATGTTCAACGTAGCAGGCTTTGTAAATTTGTCACACGATGACCACAGACGATGAATTTATTTTAATTGTCACGGTCTCTCATTTTCTTGTTACATGCTAAACGTTTCTGCCATCTGTACCTTTTACAAGCCAGCCCAGACAAACCACGCACGCTGAATTAGGAACATAAAACAAAACAGTCGTGTGAGCTGTTGGGTTCCATCAAAAACGCATCTCAATACCTGCCTTTGAAACACTAATGTTTTCATCTTCTCTTCTCTAAGTAGACAGGACACGCCTGTAATGTCAACTTAGCGTTAGCATTGGCTGCAGTGTTGCTGACTTGCTGTAATGAAACGTTAACTTAGTTAGCTAACTTTTGTAACAGTTAGCAGACGCGTATCCTAACTCACAAATAAAACAATTAAATGTTAGCGAGAATTCAGTAAACTTACTTACTCATATCTTTGTGCTTTTACCCCGAGTTTAGTTGTTAATTTTACTCCTAGCTACTGCTTTCTGTTGATAACTTACGGTGCACAGCTAGGAGCATGTTAACCGTCATGTGACAAAATCAGCTGATTCTCCAACGCTGATTGGTCAAAGGTTGGCACGAGGAGGGCGTTCCAGAAAGATGATGCCTTAATGTGCTGTCGGAAATATAATATTCACACACGTTAATAAAAGAATAAACTACGAGCTGTCCAAATATCTCATTAACGTTTACCAAGATATTTAAGGTACAATTGGAGGTTCTTGTACTTTACATGACTATTTCCACTATATGTTTCTTTGTACATCTATTTTAGGCTACTACATTTCATCAAAAATATTGTAGCGATTACTTTATTGCGTTAATTTGATAGGTAAGCTAGCTAGCTATTTTTAAAGTCAGGATTTTATATAGGATACAAACCATATGACCAGCCTGTTAAATATAACGTATTGTTATGCTATAAACATTATTTAATAATAGTAGCTGAATTTAGTTACACATCAAACAGCTACAACAATGAAATTTTTGTCTACACTTGAATGCATTCGTAATGATAATCCAACAATAGTAATGCACTGACACGATCCATTATGTTGCCGAATGAATACTTTAAGTATATTTTGCTGATAGGCTTTCAGTGTCAAGAAGCAGATCTAATGCATATACTGAAACCTAGCAGCAGAGAATCATAGGCCTATAGACGGTTGTGTGCAGAAGATGTTTATGCATGGGTGGATTTAGATGAAGGTTGCAGCAAAGGCTGCCGGGGTGAACCCACGCTTTCCGACATTATTCCCCCAAAAGAGCCTTTATCTAAATGATTAGAAGTGAACTGACATGTGTCTGTACAGGCTGTAAAAGACTCCCCCTCTTTCCTTCTGCCTGTCTCCCACCATCATCACTGACAATTTGGGAGCCTGTCTCTATAGCAACGTAGTACAGGCGGGGTTTGCCAGCCGGAGCCATCCAGTCCTCAGCTGGCATCACCGCTCTAAACCTCCACACCGCATCACACCCTGAGTGGAATGGAAGAAAAGGACAAGAAAGAAAATGTAGGTAGCTGCCTCTTCTTTGTTTAGCACTACACCAATTCAGATATATCTGCAAGATGATGATGCAATTCAAAATGTCTAATCATTACACATAGTGAAGAACAAATATCTAGAAGCAGATTGTGCAGCTGAGTCACTGGTTGTTTAAAATCGGAATCAATAAAGCTATTGTTCCCATCGGTGCCATAGAGCGAACGCAGGCTGCACGATGAGGAACCAGCTGTTAAATCCTCAAATAAAGTGCTTTGTGCCGTTTAGCTGCTTCATTCTGTGTGACCGCTGATCTGTAGACTATATACATCTCTATTGTTGCAGGGGGAGTATATCGGAGAGATAAAAGGTGGGCTGCGACCTTCAATGAAACTGGTTGTTATGGGAATTGTTAACCAAAAACCCAAGAGGTGAGTGCACACATTTGTTTTGCACTAAAAGATATATACATTATTAATGTCGTACATGGTGGCAGCCAATTAAAACGGGTGAGAAAGATGCCCTGGCTCAGAATAAAACTGAATTTTAAAGCAGATACACAGCTGTTGCCTCTGTTTGAGGCACTGCTTTGGGAAAGTATCTTTGTAATGCCAGTGCATTTCCTAATTATAGCGTTAGTCTGTGAACATGCGTGGGAGAGCTGCAAATCCCATGAAATCTTAAGAGTAACTCTGGAAATTCTTTGGTTGATAACATCAGCTAGCTATTTATTCATTCAGTCATCTTTTATGTCTG